CTGACCTTATATGGTTTTCTTAAAGAACAATGATATTGTTCCTAAAATATCTAACCACGGGATACGCAAGATGAGGGTGCCTTCTGGTAAGAGTATTATGTTAGATTGCTCAGCATTTACTCCAGAACTGTCACTGAGCAAGTATCAATTCTATCCACTCACATTTCTGACATCAAAAAAATCTTAGCGAATTAACGCCTACAATTGAGGTGTCCGTTTCTGAAGCAGTTATGGAAAACCGAAAAAGTCTTATCACTAAACTGCGGATTTTATACAGTTGAAAGAAATGAAAAAAATTTATAAGAAAATTTGTAAGATTTCGTGTTCAAAAGAGTATAGTAGAATAAAATGATTACGATATGAAAATACTAAACATCGGATTTTAACAATAGCAGAAATAATTAAACAGTTTGAAAATATTATTGTATTACTGTCAGCTCATTAAAGTGATTAAGAAAAGGAATGAATGTCTGTTAAGCACCTGCAACTTGCAATTAATGAAGGCAATTTTCAACTGGTATAAGGTATATAGGGTCTGGCTTATATCGATTTCGGTTTCGATAATTCAGTACAGATATAATATCGGTATACAACTGTTACCTTACGGTTCTGTGTGACAAACAGAAACGCTCGGCAGCGTTTAAATATTTTACGAATACTGTAATTATACAATACTTTCATACGTAAAGGAAATGCAATCTATTTACGTAAAAATAGAACTATAACCGAAATGCATTACCGAAACCGACAACTGAAAGATAACGGTTATATATGTAATATCGGTGCTGAAAAACTGAAACTGAAATCGATATACCATATAACAGTTAGGAGACTTTTTCGGTTCTTTATAACTGTTTTAGTCAGAATCGATATACAATCCCTGGATCTATGAAGCGTGATATCATTTCGAAATGTATAAAAATAAACTGCAATATTGGACCTTGAAACATGACTCCTCCATAACGCGGGAAGTGATGCGTTCTACGAATTCGTGTTATAGGAAATCCCGTCAAACGAAAGACTTCCTTTTATACCACGAATGATGTTACCATTGTGTTCCAATGAAACGTTGTGTTTCATGTAAATTCAACGGAAGAAATAATTTAAAAAACCGGAAAAACACTTTTGCAGTGTTGATTGTTAATCACCGTCCGAATCGTCCAGTTTACGTCCTAAAGCCTACATTCTAGTATAATTTGCTGTTCGTTTTTACATATTTTCATTTTATTATAGTATAATTTATTAATTTTATTATATATATTTAATTATATTATATAACAGCGCGCGTTGTACGGGAAATCGTGTTATATGAAAACGGTGGTAGCAAAATTTTTTGCGCGTTATAAGAATTCGCGTTATACGAGAGTCTACTATGTATAAATAATAGTGCAAGACTCTAATGTACGCAATTATTCATAAGAACACATTATAAGAACTTGTGCGTAAAAAAAAGTGAACGGTGAAAAGAAACTATCACATCTTTTCTGGCGCCTAATTGTAAGTCATCAAGGTCGTCGAGTCCACTCACAGAGCTGCAATGCAATCTGGCAAGAACACTGCTACCTGAGATGATCACCCTTTGAAGGAAAGTGCGGTAGACCTCAAATAATGCCAAAGAATAGTTTGTGCCGGGGTTGTGGGACAGTGAATGTTCAGCCGATCTGTCGGATAGCGAAAAGGGTTTCGCAAACCCTTTAGCCCTCGGAAAAAGTGAGCTTTATGGTATTGTGACACTGCGCGCATAATTGTCTTATCTGAGATCGTACGAGTAACTATGTGTTTTCAAGCAAGTTATCATGAATTATTCCTTTTGTATTCATTTGATCACGTACAGTAAATTTTCCCTAATTGACCCTCAGCTTGTACACAAAAATGGACAATTCAGAAAGAGAAGATACGATTATTCGAGCCTTGCAGTTCGTTTCTACAGTTGTTGACAATCGGTAACTATAAAAACGAACTACAAGGCTCGAATAATTGTACCTCCTCTGCCCAAATTGTCCATTTTTGTTTCCAAATGGGCGTCAATTAGGGAGAATTTACTGTATACATATTGCGCACGCTTGTGAAGAGGGTGAAAACCTTAGTTGTAAATCGATAAAACACATTGAAAAATGCTGAAAACCCTAGTTTTTTCGCGTGAAATAAACTGGAAACGATCATTCTTATTAAGATTTATCGAAATAACCATGAAGAACCATGAAACGTATGAAATATCTTTCTCAATTTACGCGCACGAGTAACAAACTCGATTTAACACTTGAATGGAAGATTAAAGAAAAATTAATATCTATCGAAAAACTAAAGTTTCTAAAAAGAGCAGCTGAAAAAATATGTTGAGAAGAATTGATGAGTGTTAATATATATTAAATGTAGTTGGATTATGAATTTGTATGGAAAATACAAATAGTTTATAGTGATTGTAAGGAACAGGATCCAACCTTTCCTCTTTGAATAATTTCAATGAGCTGAAACTAATATAATGATACTCTTGAATTCTCCTAATCTGTTCGTTTCTTTAAATTGCATTTATTAATTTTTTTTTCATAAATGCGCAACATTCGCAGTCTAGTTGCCAATATTATTTCCATGGTATTGATTGTCGGAAGATTATGTCATACAGAAGAAATTTCGAAACAGCAGGATTGTGGAGAAATGTAGGATTTATGGAGAGTATTAACCGAATAATAATAATCGAGAGTATTAACCGATTTGCCGAAAAACTGTTTAATGCCCAACGGAGTAACGCACTCGTTAATCCCTTGCACCACAATTTCTTTTACATTCCTACGTTGATTGGCACTTTTTTTTCTATAATAAAATAAGATTCTTTCTCGTAGGGTAGTGATGCCGGTTATTAATTAACATTATTTTTATCGAATAAGATATATTAAACATTATTATTAAAAAATAAACAAAATAAAAGAATAGAAAGATTTATTATGTGTTATTCGATAAATATAAAGTTAATTATGCCCGAAAACAAGTCAAAGGCATCAGCAATTGGTCACCCACAGTAACGGTTCTACTATCTTATATTTTCATTTACCTCCATTCCTAAATTTTAATAACAGAAAAAACAAATTTTGTTTCGATGTAGAAGAAATGAATAACATTATTCATATTTAATAGATTATGTATGAAATCTTCAACGCGAGACTGACTCGTTATAGTGCAAGGGGTTAATAAATGGATGACGGATTATGTATAGGTGTTCGAATCCGACGGGTCGACAAGGCTGAAGAATACCGAAAGCATACACGTAGGCGGTCGACAGAGGTATCAATCGGTTCCTCTACAATGCCGAATGACCGTGACATGGAAACAAAGGAAGTATTGAACATGCTGGTAAATTGATACTAACATAATATGTTGGAGTGTCAAAACAAGAGAAGATACGTAAGTATTAGTTAAACAAAGATTGAATTGAAAGAGCATCGAGTAGTGAGTCAATTATATTGTTTATTGATTTCTAAATATGGAAATATTTGAAAGTTTGTCTCAGATCGGTTGATGGTAGAATTATAATTGTATGGTTGCGACAGAAAAGAAAGAAAAAATCATATTTTATTTAATCCAGTATTATTATTGTATCGAGCTGTAGGAAAGGTTTAGGAAAGGAAGTCAATATATTATAGTAGTAGTAAATTTTACACATGTTATGTTAAGAAATCTGTAGAGAAGTTTTAGCGTCAATCGGCTGTTTTATTATTACAGTACTATCGAGTGATCAGCAGTCATCTTGCGTATAACCAGTTGTCATCTTGTGTGCGACAAAGTGATCGTCTTGTGTACGACTAGTTGTCATCTTACGTATAGCAAATTGTGTTGTGAATAATTGTTTTACTATTCAATATTAGTATTTCTTGAATAGGTGTAACTGAAATTGAGACGCAGTTTCTCCAATGGACAAACTTAGACAATGGCGATTCGTAGTTGTGCAAAAATCCCATGCAGCGTATTTACTGACACATGTCTAGATATTGTATCATATGTAACCTGATGTTGTAGCAGTTTCTTAAAGAATAGTGATATTATTGCTAAAGAATCTGGCCATGGAATGGGAACCGTCAGGATGTCTTTTGGTACGAGTTATAATTCTATCCATCCACATTTGTCGTATGCATATGAAATTGTACAACAAACTGATCTCAATTCTATATCTTTAATACGCTAGGCATAGAATATTAAAGAAACTGTTTCGATAACATTAAACTATTAATTTGTAAGTTACAATTAAACGCTAGCTGTACCAATACTTTTATTTATGACTGTAGTATAATCAATGTTTTTTTGGTCTCATTTTAAACAAAAAAGTTTCACAAGTGTGTTGGCTATCGTTTCATACGAAATAAGAACGACACAACGTTGTATTTCCTCAGTCGCATCGATATCTTATTGTTTGCCGATCGAGCGTTCAAGTCGAATGAAAACTTGTTCAGCGTCGGTGTAGATCTTTCAATAATTCTCGGCTCGAATGCTGCACTTTATTTGAACAAATCTCAACAATTTACCTTCAAATATAAAGCATTAGCATTCTCCAAAATTTCGCTCAAAGCCTTCACTATGCGCCGATGGGCAATATTTAAAGAATTCGTTGTGTCGGTGTAATAATATCGGCTGTATTTTCAAAACTCATAAATTTTCAAAGCTGGAGAATCCCATCTCTCCTAAGCGATTTCACCTAAATCGAGCATTGGTGTCACTCGGAACATTATCCAAATTCCGGTCGTCGTCGGGTAGAAAGGTTTATCGTAACAGGGTATTGAACTTTGAGGTTATGTGCTTACCATGGAGAGCTTTCATTATCGGATTTTGATACGCGGCACAGCAGCTACCGGCGAGTATTAGAAGGATCAGTAGCTGTATGAGATGACCGGCAGTCATGTCGATCAGCGATACGAGCCGCGCGACACACTTATTCGATGAAATAGCTGGTACGTCGAGCTAGCGTAAAGCTACGGAAAATCAGTACGGCGCAACAGCTGGCACCTTACAGTCGACTACTTGCCCGAGCGCGGTACACATCTCGGCAGCGTCGCGTCGCATGGCTCCGTCTCTCTCGCTTCGCAGCCAATAATCGAGGGCCTAGTTTCTCGCCGTCTCTGTCGCGCGCGCGATCCGCTGTGTTCGCGAAGTGACCGCGAGGTGACGACGCAGTCGGCCCAAGATGGCCACGCTGGATCAATGAAACGCGAGTAATCGTAGTAAAAACAGAAATTGACAAGTGTGCTGGTGAACATCGGGCGTTGATTACGGTGTAAATGGACCATGGGGAAGGATCAGGAGCTGCTAGAGGCAGCGAGAAGCGGAAATGTCACCGTGGTCGAGAAGATTTTGGGTCAACGAGCGAAGAGGAGTGGTCCACTGGCAAGGTGGGTGTCACCGTGCTACACTTTGCTTTTCCTCGGTTCTTTCGCCGTTCCAGCACTCTGTTTCACCTACCGCACGATCACGTTCGCTCTGAACGCGATCGTTACCCTTGGTTCCTCGCGAAACAGGCCCACTCTCTGTCAACGTGTCCGGAGATCACCGTTTATCTGTCACCGATCTCTGATGAATTTCTCCGTGCAACGATTCCTGTGCTACGAATGAGAAAACTGTCTACGCTGTGCCGTATCGACGGACGTTTTGAATTTATTTCTCGTCGCCGCGATGTTAGTTCCGTGTTAGCGGTTTATTAATCGGGCACACGTAACTGTGTTCGAATGTAAACCGTATCAAACGAGTCATTACGCGTACCGGTACCCGTGTCTCAGTGAAATTACCTACGCTCGATTGATCGCTACATTTTCCCAATTAATCCGACGATTTCTGAGCGGTTTACGCGCTCGTCGTTTTTCCGTTTAATCGCAACGATTGTTTGCCGCGTATGGTTGTTGCTGCGTCAATTAAACGGCGAAACGTTTTCGGTGTAAATCGTACGCGTGCCGATTTTTTGGAACCCTTTTTTTCAGACCACTGGATGTTATAATTAACGTCTTTCGTTTTTTTCTTCTCTTTCTTTCTCTCTCGCTCTCTCTTTTTTTTCGCCCGTTTCGATCACGCGAGAGATTTTCGCGGGTATTGCGCCGTTAGACGGTAATTGGATTTACGGCGCGTGTTTTATGAAAACTGGGACCGGGGGCTCGCTCGAGCTCGCGGGTCCTCAGCGCTGCGCCACGCTTGTGTACGACGCTTAATAATTGGGAATTTTCGTGTAACGCGTTTAATACGATTCCTAGGTGGAAATGAACGGGCGGTAGGTAATTTTCCCGGCATAATCAGGCTTGCTCTGAATATCTGTCTGGAATAATGCGCCCGTATGTGTTCGCGCGTTATTGTTCAGTGATTATTCATGATTTCACCGTGACCATGAATCACTCCGTTCGCGCACGATGGACGAAGATGCACTGGCACAAACATGCAACGAATCAGCGCTGTCGATTTTATTAGAGTTTTTATAATAAATCTTTATTCGCTAGAGAAGAACGTTGCGAGGGCGATACGTGCTCGTGTATTATTCAATTCGAAACAATCTCTGATAGTATCCTGTAGAAATATCACTTAAAAAGTGCCATTTCGAAATTCGTAAATTGACGGTCCACATCAGGCTTGGCTATTATTCGATTCGGTAAATTATTATTTCATTTGCAAATCAAAATGATTTTTCTCTTGTTCGTTTTATTGTGCGAGTAAAAATTGAAATTATTTTGATAACTCGAAGTAAAATTTGTTCGAGCCTGACACACGTTATATCTGTAGGAACGAATAAAAGAACTAAATTTTGTTAAAACTGATTACTAAAAAGCGGAGCAATTTTATAGACGTCGCGTGACCAATGTGGGTTAATCGTTCGCAGGAACGCGTATTATTATGGAAGAACACCGGTTAATATAAAGTTCTTGTATCGGAGGCCTGCAAAACTGTTCCTGTTGCCCGGAAATGGTTCAGATAGAAGTTCGCTCGAAAGTTAGTGGGCCATTGTTGAAAGGAAACTTCAGGAAGTGGACATCACGACGAACGTCGAACTTTCGGAGATCGTAAACTGTGCCGCGGCGAACACGTTAAAAGAAACCATGAAATTATAATCGAGCAATGGCGTATTCAATTAATTAAAAAATGCGGCCCACTACGCGCGTTGCAATAAAGCTTGGTCCAAACGTTCGTTTGGAAAGGGCTGTTGTTACTAGTCTTTTTATAGCCAGGCTTCTATTGTGTTAGCGATATCTTTATGGGGAACAATTTAATTAAATCTCGGTGATAACCAACGAGAAATGTTCGGTCGTAGCGCGTCTGGAAGCGGCATGAACCGTCTACGGGACTTATCGAGTCAGGCTATTTTCTATTTATGGAGCCGATAAAGGGGCTTATTTGGCGGGTAGCTATTTATTTTCAAGGGTCAATGATAAACCTCGCTGGGACCTAATAGATCGTAGACGAAACGACAGCGCGGCCTAGACGTAATATTTTTGTCCTCATCCAGGGCCATGTGAAAATGATATTCATGCATCGAACTCGAACGGCCAATTATACGGATGAAATGAAAATTGTAAGAATTATTTGTGCATATATTTCTTCACAGAATTTTGTATTGTACTCGTAACACTTTATCCACTGGAAGCGTATTCATAGGATTTTTAATTATTATGTTATACTAAGAGGAATCATACAATTCTTTTTTTGTATAATAATTCCGAATGAAATTATTGAATTATGTTACGGGGGAGGACTTGGTGGTATACAATTGAGATTGATATGAATTGAAGAATTCGTTAAGAAATTCTGAAATTATAGACTCCTAAAAATTATAGAATCGGTAGATATATATAATTTGTTGCAGCCAGTAACTCTAGAAATAGCATTACTTTTTCCATAGATATTATTATAATGGACGTATACATGTGTTACAAATTTTAATTTCCATTCTGTTTACATAAAACGGCGTTGAGAAATGTGTATTTGAGCGACTCAGCTTGCTTGGCAACAGTGATGAGATTGTATAAAAACAGAGACTCGTGTATAACTTGTTCTGGAGCAAAAAACATTTAGCCTAATAACTTAGTCATCCTGTTCAAATTAACTTAGTTTAGCAGCATCGTCATCGTGACATTTAAGAAGCGTCATTTGAATGCGTTGTAACTTTACTCCTTCGGGCTTCGTCTGATAAGACTCATGCCAATTTTCTGTTTCCGGTCGATGATCAGAGTTAACAAGTTACAGCATTTTGTTCAAAACAGTTATTTAATGTAATACAATATTGTAGAACACCATAGTTACATTGATTGCTTGTAAGTATGACGTAGAAGTTTTCTTGTTCTCAATCTTTATCTCTCTCGGTTGTCGTATCAATTACAATCTTCATTAGTTACTTGATTTTCATTGTCGAATAAAACAAACTTTTTTTAAATATTATTAGAGACAGTTCTTAAAAGGATGAGGGCAGCTATTGGGGCAGCCTTCGATAATATTTCGCAGGAGGCATCTACAAAACTTTTCTGTAAATATAGGAGTAGTTTTTCTCCACGTTTTGACGGACTTCATGGAAGTTAATAAAAAGATCCGCTTTAAACTATTAATACAAATTTGAACCGTTAATAAAAATTAAAAGAGAAAAAGGTTCCAAAATAAAGGTTAATAAAAATAAAATCAAGTACTTACACTATTGTAATCGAATTTTTTTAGATTATTGTAATTATATCTTACCTTGCTCGGCGTTATCTTGAAATAAGTTAGTATTAGTTTATTTAAGAAGAAAATAGTTTTTGCCCCGATTAATTTCGTTATGAAATTAAATAATTTCTTATATTTAGGGTAAATATGTTCCTACAAATAAAGTTCATTAATCCTTTAAGTATTGATTAAGTTGAAAAAGCATAATAATAATAGTAAAGATATAGTAGACTTTATATTATAATAGTATTATATGAATGTTTGTCAAATTATATTACTTATATCTGTTTCATATTTGTATTACAAATCATAGTAAAGATCATGACAGATCAAATTTGTCATAAATACCAGAAATTAAACAAATTGGCTCTGTACGGTATCACATTCAAATGACTAATACTGAGAAGAAAGTTGCTCTTTCATTCTTCGTCGTACAAACAACGCAGCACGCATGATTAAAAACGCTGGATGTACATTGAAAAATTGCTGCTATAAATGTTAGTCCATTCGTCGCCCCCTATCGTTCAATCTTGTTACACATATATTTCGCAACGTGTAAACGATATCTGCGCAGCTGTTCACGCGCACGTAACAACTTCCTCGCAATCTATGCAAATGGTAGATCAATTCGCGGAAAAGATAGCCGCGCGGCCGAATGATCGCCGGTGATCGGATGGGATCGATCGAAATGGAGATCGAAACGAAACGACGGCACAGTTGTGGACCCCCAGCGAACAGGATCGCGGATCGTTCGGGCAATTGGTGTGGTTGCGAGTGTTCGATTTATTGGAGAACTCGAATTTGAGTAATTTTCATCTTACTTTTATAATCGAAGCACCAATGGATAACTGAGATTTTTTTGATTAAATTGAGTCCAAACACGATGTAAATCGGACTACGTTCACCGACAAGCTTATTATTATATGTAGATTTGCTTATTAATTAATCGGAAAATAGCTTAAATTAATCCGATTTTCATGTATCGTGTCTGGACTAATTTTAATCAGAAAAATATCAACTATCCATTGATGCTATAATTACAAAGATATGATAATAATTACTAAAAATAAAATGTTCTGTATTGTACGTTCATTTTGCATGTCCCTTTAACACTAACTTTATGGAACGCGTCATTTTGTCGCGATCCAAATGTTTTAATCTAGAATCATAGTTTTAAATTATAACGATATTTTTATTTATGAGGATTTATTCAATTAGCTTGTTTCATTGACCGTACATCATGATTAAAATTGCTAAAAATCTGATTAAACGTATGCTTGTCTAAAGCTACAGTTAGTGTTCCGTAACTCTAGTGTTAAATGTTGAACGTCGATCGTTGTTGCTCGTCGTAGATACTACGTTTATCTCGTTTACTTTTTAACGAGCCGTGATCAAGTCAATTCTTATCTGGAAACAAGTGTTTTGTAAATATAACCGTAGAGCGACCCCTTTTTATTTTTCGGCATAAATGCCGGAATAATAATTGAAATATTATTTATTTCCAAAATATAATAACTCAATATAAATTTGTAAATAAAACTTTTTGTTAATAATGCTAATTTGTTAATAATTTTGTTAATAATTTGTTGATTTGTTTATAAGTTAGGAGGATAAGAGAAAGCTCAATGTTTTACTATTTATTTACACGTTCGCAGGAAATCGAAAATTATGTGGGGTCGTAACAGAGTTAACTTCGCGTGCTGCTTATCGAATCGATGTAAAT